CAATTTATATAGCCGCCCATCTCAGACCAGTGACTCTGGGTGGCTAACAATAATAAAAACAATCAAACAGTTAAAACAATACAGAAAATTAAATCCAAATAGCAGCTAAGAGATATTATAATCCGTCAGTGTCAACAGAGCCAGGAAATGGGGCCCTTATTACACTCAGGGCCCCAGGCCCGGGCACGTAGCCAGGTCTTCAAGGCCTTCCGAAAGGCCAGCAGGATCTGGGCTATCCTGATCTGAGGAGGGAGGATGCTCCAGAGGGCAGGCGCTATGGCAGAAAAGGCACGTCTCCTGGTGCCCGCCAGCTGACATTCCTTGGCCGACGGGTCCCACAGCATGTCCATCCTGCCAGACCGGATTGGACGGGCAGAAACAACTGGGAAAAGACAGTCCCTAAGGTTCTATGGTTTAGAACAGTCCAATGGGAGAAAGATATATATGAACAAGACAGATATACCTATGCCTAGTAAAAATATCAACGATACCAAGTACTTGCACCAGAAAAGAGAAGGCGGGAGACAGTTCTAGCAGAAAAGCTGAGCTCAGTTATATCCACCTCAGGCTTCAGAGGAGTTAACATGGTGATTCATGCACATTTTTTAATACGTGGAAATATAATTGTTCAAAACTGCAAGAAAGAATAAGCCTAATGAATATGAAATGTGCTTTGATTAGTACCCTAATTGCAAGACACTGAGTTTCCAAAAGGTCTTATGTACTATCTTGAGCTACCCAACCTTTATGGCTTCCTGGAATTAATTTATCTTAGAGCTTAAAAAAATAATAATGACACTGATTAACATACAGTTTTGAGGTGTCTTCAAATGTTATTTATTGCCATGTCACTCTGACAGTTGAAGTTGCATTAAAAAAAAACAAAAAACTTATGCCCAGCTTGTCACTTAATTTATTTTTCAAAACCTGAAAATTGATTTGTGCCTCAAATTGGTAATAGCCCATCTTCTCTCAGATAAGGGAGCAAAATGTATATTTTAACAGACTTCTTCCATACATATCAGGGAAAAGAAAATGTGGCGCGTGTTTGACGCTGTGAATAAATGGGCCCATCCATGAGTATCCATGGGGTAGGGGAGGAGGATGAGGGTGGCAAATCATGTCACATGTTTCATAACATCAACGTGCAAGTGACGCAGCTGATGCAAATTACTTAATTTACACCATTTGGGTAATGATATAATGATGAATATGCTATCATTGGGCTTCCTTCAGATACCCTTTCTTTAGCAATTATATGACATGTTATTAGAACTAAATTACAAGCTATTAAGCTTTAACAATTCATACCTGAAGATTATACTGAGTTGAGGAGGCTGTAGCAACATCAATTTTACTTCCCATTGCTACTTTTTACGTAGTTCTAGTGGTGAGTGACAGTAACTGTTCTCTTCTCTACTAGTGGACATTATTGTGTCATTCAAAGTTCCTTCTTACCTAGAAGGAAGTAGACTAAGGACACTATCCTCATTCTGATTTGGCTTCAGGATGATGTCCTTGTTCTGATTTGGCTTTAAGACAAAACCTAAGCTCTGATTTAGTTTCAGAAAATGCCAGCAGAATGAAGGACGGTAGCATTCTGCTTTTCACGTCTCTTCTTTTTTCTTGACTGAGTAAAACAGGCAAAAAGGAAAAGGAAAAAGAAAAGAAAAAGATTATACATGCACATTTGTCTCAGCGAGGTCAGCTAGAGAGAGACAGCTCAAGGTCCCATCTCCATGAAAGGGGAGAGGGTGGTGGCCAAAAAGCCAGGCCTTGCTTGGGGTTGTCTGAAGTTGAGGAATATGTTGCCAGCTGGAGGTGTATTTGCCCTGGGCATTTTGGAGGGTACTGAAGACCCATCTTTTTAAGCATTGGTAGTTGGGTGGCTGCTTGCAGCTCTTTATTTTTTCCAGCCCAGTGGTCTATTGGAAATAAATTAGGTGAAGAGCCTTGAGACTCTGTCCCTCTGTTTTTCCATCAGCAGGATGACCTTCTAGAAATAAGACCCAATGGGTCTGGTTTGGCATCAGAGGAGAAGTGGCAGAAGGAAGATTGAGTTTAAAAAGGGGGCAGGTGTGGCTGGAGGCTGCAGGGGGGAAAAATCCCCTTGTACCACTTTGTGGGAGAGACATCTGGGAAATGGAACAGTATTTTATCAACTGGTCCATTGCCTCTTTCTTCTCAGTCTTTTGGCTCAGAGCAGAGCTATTCTTAAGGAGTTCTCTAACCTGTGTGTGTGTGGTTTTTTAATGTCCATTTTCTGTAGCCTCTGATTAGTGGGTTCAGTTGTTTTGAGAATGGATGTGGATCATTTTAGTTTGAACAGAGGAGTGCTTCTGAGGGACAGTAGAGCTATCTTGTAACATAAATAAATACTATTGATCTTACAGATCTCTCTTTTAAGCTACCTTTAGTATGCATGCCTTAATCAGTTTTGGTAAGGCTACCAGGCTGCCCTTGAAGACTGTACCAACACATCTGGAGATTGAGGAATTCCAGCCCAGGGCCAAAATAATAATGGAAACATCTCCTGTAACAAGCATTCTAATGCTTAGAAAATATTAGGAGGCAAATGGTGGAGTAGAAAGGCTGTTCTGGAGGCATTCTTTCCAAAATTGCATCCCGTGGTGTCTAGGGAAATTTTTTACCCCTTCTAGGGGGTGCTGCCGTTTGAAAATATACCCTCATTGCAAAATCTGTTCAAAAACCCACCGCTGCCAATGATGATGATGAGGATGGTGATGAAGATGGATTTGGTTATAGAATGCAAGCATTTTTAAGCATTATAAAATTGTACATTTTATTCTCCTATTTTGGTACTATTTTGCTTCCTCTCACTGTGTGGAATTACATATAGTAGTAAATAATTTTAATTAAAATAACAATTTTTAAAAAATGGGGAAAAGGGAAAGATGAAATTATTGTCATCTGAAAACAGCCACAGCAATGCCAATAAGGCATCCAGTACATAAATTACCCAACTGTATGTTGCAAATACTTATACCACAGTCCTCCAAGAAGTGTATAGATTTTATAGACAGTAGTAATGGAGATTAAGTATCTCTCCTTTTTCAACTGACTCTGTATTGAATCAGCTCCCCAGCATTTACTACTAGGGCGCCTTATGCTGATTTATTACCCATTGCAGAAAAATGAGTAAATGAAACCCACTGGTCTCACTGGCATTTAGAACTAAAAAGATATTTGCTTGGCTCTAATATTGCATTTTGGGTTTTGCAATGTATTTTTTATAGACCCGAGTCTATTATTATTATTTTTTCAAGTTCTCATTTAATTGAATAAAAGAAAAGACTTTGCTTTCAAAATTTCTTTCAAGGGAAATGAGAGTTTCATGGAAATTTTCATGGCCAAAATGTAATATTCTCATTCCTATCTGGTGACAAAGTAGCTAAGAGATGTGTGTGTGATCTTCTCTTTTGCTGGACAATTCTCTCTCCAGAAATATGAAATATCTCTGGCTTTTGAAACTACCATTCCATTTCGAGGACATCAAGATGGCTTTTTCTCCCTGTGTTTTTTTTTTTTTTTTTTTTTTATTAATGGTACTACAGTGATTGCTAAAAGAAATTCTGGATGAATGGAGAATTTGTAACGCAGCTACTTCAGCTCAGAACTGGTGGAAATTAAACTGTAAATACATTCAAGAGTCAATAGATGATGCAAACATCTTTAATTTTAGTTAACTTTTTTTAAAAAAGTGGAATAATGCAGAGTATGAAAACATCTGAAGAACGTCATTAGCAAAATTGTTCTATATCACTAATGAAAATATTACAGAACAATGGTTAATACTTGTTTAAAAAACTGTTTCAAAATACAGCTGTCTAGGACAATGCAGTGCAGTTGGGAAATTCTTGAGTCTGTCCTAGTTCACTTTAAGCAACAGTCAATGCCAGAAGACATGAGTAAAGAGATCCAATAAGAGTACTTTTCCCCAACTGACATGCCCATAAAACTCACCTTTTTCTGCTTCTGCAGTTTCCCATTTATATGGAGTTTTTAAACATTTTAGAATCTAATAGCAAAAAAAGATCATATAAGAATGGTATATAAAAATACATATAATTTTAGAAATAGCAGTTTTATGTCTCTTGTGGGTCAGTGAAAACGACTGTAATATTCCTTGGGAGAGGCTTAATCTCTCCTGATTTGCCCAAGTAGTCCTCCCCACAAAAAAATCTCTATAAACTCTCTGCAGTTTTTTGAATGAGAGATAAAATGTGAGTTACCGGTTTCTGCATAGATTGTAAAACAATTCTACTGTCTAGAAGGGATTGCAGGATTATCTACCAGTTGGTGAGGATGCACTCCCTCCCCCTGTCAAAAAAAATGAAGTCCTCCATCAGAATATGAAAAACCTGTTCTGGTGGTAGAGTCCACCATTGTGGAATTTTCCCAAAAATGTATGCCAATCAATTTTGGTCCATAAAAAAATAACCAAGGAGAACCTGAGAGGGCTGAGGCGTAACGTGTAACAACTTTATCATAACACATTACATTTTCAACTGGGAATTTGACAAAATAAAAACAGAGATAACCTTTATCAAGGAGAAAAAAGGAACAATCTTTGGCCCTCCTTAATGGGGGGGGGGGTCAGTATGTATGAACATATATGAAGTATGAATTTCATATAGTATGAACATATATGAAGATAGGGGGCTGATAGTGATTAAAGTGCTGGACTGACCCAACTTTACCAAGGCATTCAGTGAGGGACTTGGGCCAGGAACTCTTTTTCAACCCAATCTTTCTTGGAGATTTGTTGTCCTGGAGTGGAAACTAGGAAAGTTTCTCATGTGTGCCACCTTGAGCTGTCAGAGAAATGGCAAGTTTATAAATGCAACATGTGAATAATAGAGTTTTGGATCCCATTCTCTAGTCCTATAACCTTGTGTGGCAAATCTCAGGAAGCATCATTGCCTTTTAAGACTTTATGAAACAATCTTCTTTATTTGGATGTCCTCAAGATGCATCACCTCCCAGGATTTTCAGTCAGAGTGGCCATTTCTTGGACCTGTTGACTACACATAGCTAAGTCAGGAATGGCTCCTTGAAGAGTTTACTGATTCCTTTGAACATGACTAGTCCTTGGCCTATTTATTGCCTAGCCTTATAAATGCATCCCAGAGAAACTAATTCCTCTTCTCCTAGACTTACAATAAAAGGGAATTTGCAAAACCCTATCAGTATGGACTCTACTGCCCTGTACAGTAATAGATCCTCATTTTGCTCAATATTAACCCCATTAATAACACTACTGTGTTCAAAGGCAACACATTGTTTATGGTATTGATCCATTTAACATCAATCAACAATTGGTAAATCTCATGCCTCATCTTGGAATTTGGGACAGGAAAACCAGGTACCTATGTGCCTGACAAAAACCTCTAGGTTTTTGGTTTTTTACTACCCTCTAGGTTTTTAAATTAACTTCTAACTATATGCTGGGCATTCCAACTTAGGGAACACTTGGCTAGGCAGCCTTGATCAGAATTTCATTGAATCCTTTTTTTTTGGTGAGAACTTTCTAAAAGTTGCCTGTTTTGAAGATAATCTGTGAGAAAGCAAAAGCAAAACAGAGATTTATCTATCTGACATATAGAGTGGGAAAGATTTCATACCATAACACACCCTGCAGTTGATATTCTCATTTTTGTCATCAATGAATCAAGCTCTAAAAATGCATGCAAACAAAGGATAGACCTCTTTAGATTTTGTATGCTCACCTTAATAAAATGAAGCAGTGAGATCCAGTGTTTCTTTCTTAAAGTAGCATCTTTTAATCTCAGCCCAAAGAAACTTTGGTTTTTGATTAGTCCTAAAGCAACGTATTTTAGTAAAATAAGAGAAATGCAATCAGGTTGTGAATAAAGAGCTTTTCTTATGGGGTAGATCTTCACTGGGCAGTCCAATAGATTTGCCGGGCTCAGAAAGTGCACTGAAATCTAATGGAGAATTGGATAAAGGAATCCGTCAGCAGCGATCAAAGGATAGTATTGCTGCAAGGGAGCTGGCAATTTTCCAGCTCTTCATGTCATAGCTTTGATCTGTGGCACTGGAAAATGTAAAAGGCACGCCAAAGCCACATCACAAAGTCGTCTTATCTTGAACTGCAAGACAGAGATACAAAGATTTCTCTTGTTCCTGTTTTATGCCATCCGTTTGTTGATTTTAAGAAGCTCTACCCATCTTTCTCTTACACTTTAGGAAAAGAATCCAGTAGGTAGCACCATTTACTGTTGATGAGGTTGAGCCTGACCTGTAAGGCTGAAATGTCCGCTTTTCTGAAATGCAGTTTCAACTGTTTCTTTTAGAAGAGTGTGATGTTTAAAACCTTCCCTCCTCTTCCTCTTCCTCCTCCTCTTCCTCTTCACACTTAGCACTAAAAATTGGCAC